ACCTTTAGCCCCCCCCCCCCCCCCCCCCCCCCCCCCCCCCCCCCCCCTGGTTTCAAAACCCACACTATCCAACATGGCAGCGCCGGATACATCCCTCTCACGAGAGCTCGCATTCACTACCGCCGCCGCTGCTGCCTGCTCAATGTACGTTCCACCTTCTCACCTGGAGAAAGTCATCGACGAGGCCCTGCAGATGGTTCTCGCTCTCGGGACCCACGCCCCCGGCCCCCCTCGACGCCTCTCGTTTGGCCTCCATCAAAGTTTCCTGTGGGTGCATGTGTGCACGTGCGAATTTCATATCGTCCGTAGCGCTCATGTGCGACAGGTTTGATAGAGAGCGGTTGTATTTGTTCGGGGGGGGGGGAGCGACAATAACAACCAAAAACGGTTAGAAAAAACACACGTTTCGGCCCCTTTGGTTTTTCCGAGGTTTGCAGGTGTTCTAAGAGTGAAGCATCGCTGGTTTGATGACGGTTGAGCTCTGTTGTTGTAGATATTGATGATTATGATGATGCGCGGACGGTTGCACGACTAGGTGTACACCATGGCATATGGCAAGGCTTACACCAACGCCTGAAATGACTTGCACGCGAAAAAAGACAAGCCGAGCTGAGAGCGTTTGTTACTCTCCAACCTTTCCGGCTCGTTCGATTCAAGAGGCGGGCGGGCGCGGAATCTGGGTGCTGGAAGAGCGAATCTGCTGCTTGCCTGCTTGCCTTATCACCTTCGTGCACACGGTTCTAACATCAAGCCAATGATACTTCAGCCCGTTCCCTCCCCCTTGAATTGTATCTCGAACGGGTGGGCTTTCGTTGAGTGGATGCATATTTCTAATAGATCGCTCACGCACGCGGCACACACACACACCGCCTGCCAGTCAATGCTGTAATACAAGACAAACTAGTTGTCGCTACAACGAGCGACAGCTGTTAGATGTAACTGTCGTCAGACGTGTGCGTCCACCGGCGGAAATAGAGTGCAAATACCACACACTTGATGCTACACCTGTTGTGCGCTGGTATGAGAGCTGTGGTATCGTTAACCTTCACCTACCGGTTACCCCCCCCCCGTCCACATCCCGCTTTCGTGGTCGTACATATCCCCCGTACACTATGCTGAACCCCCTGTTCCCTCTTTTTTGTTCGGTGTTATTCCAACTGCCAGCGAAACAGCAAGACCCCAAGTCAGGTCTCGTCACCTAGCGCACCAATCGTCATGGCACCACTTCGAGCGTGTGCTCCATTGCGGTGTCTTGGGGCGTGACAGTTGTGTTAGGTATGGGTCCTGTGTGTGGGAAGACTTTCGTGGCGGCGTGGGATCGAAATCGTTTTTTTGGCCAGGGCAATCGGGCCGCATCGCCCGGCGAAAAAGCCTTACCGGATTTCACATCGCCGCTATGCTCTCTCGCCACATACAGAACCCATGCCCAACACAACCATCACGCCCAGAGGCACCACAATGGATCACACGCTCGAAGTGATGCGAGGGCGATCGGCGTCCTAGGTTTCGAGAACTAATGTGGTGCTGTACTCCCATTGCTGGTAGTTGAACGCGGCGGTCAAAAAAAACTCATGCGCGACAGCAATGCATTGTCAGCCGAAACACACCACAGAGAGTCCAGCAGCATCGAGCCTAGATGCTGTCGCCAGCCGTGCGTGTGTGTCGCCTGTTATCCGTACGCTGTCTGCTGTGCGTGTGTTGTCTTCTGTGTGGTGTCGCCCGCAGTACGTGTGTTCTCTGCTGCAAATCGCTATGTCTTCCGAAAAAAAAGTCTGTTGACCCCTGTAGCATGAAAGCAAAATGTAGTCTTTACTGAAACAACTAGATAAAGCGCGTACAGACACTCAAGATCTCTTGGGTTTCAGCGAGCCCTTGCAACTCGGGGGGCTGGCAGTCCAGCTTAGAAATCTCGCTTCGCTCTGACAACGAAAATGACACAACACATCACCGTCGACTCACGACGTTTGGGGCGTGTCGGTTGTTGACGGCGTCGACGGTGCGGCGGAAGTCATCGAGAGGGTCGCACCGCTGCCGCTGCAGAGAGTCCTCCCTTGTACCGTGTGGCAACATTCGTTCCACCACGCTCCCCGCATCGAGCAGCTCCTGCATATGCATGCATGCGAGAGGGAAGAGGGGGAAGGAGAGGGAGAGAGTGAGAGACAAGGAGAGACGGAGGGAGGGGAGACAGACAGCGAATGGATGAGGGAGACGCACACAGAGAGAGACAGAGAGAGACAGAGAGAGAACTGAAAATAATGTTTTCTCAGCCAGAAAAGCTCCAATCATTGCGTCCAGCAGCAGCAGCAGCAGCAGCAGCAGCAGCAGCAGCTGCAGCAGTGGCGGCGACGGGTGTACTGGCTCCACCGGAGACAACAGTTAAAAGTATCGTGCAACGAAACAATATTTATTCAACGGTAGGGGGGGTTAAGCGTTGTAACAGAGGGCTACAACGACACAAGAGGGCACATTGACTCGAACAGCTGCTGCCGCTTTCCTGCGTGACACAATACCCCCTAACGCCGTGCATCTCTGATCGTGCCGCTACGGGAAAACACTGGGCTCACAGCACCAGGAGGTGGTCGCCAGTGCTTTGCTGTCGAATCATGCTGTTTGGGAGAACTAAGCAACGGCTGTAAAAAGCCGTGGGCGTGTGGATGTACATTTAGCACGCGCACGCCATCAAAAGACCATGCGCTACGCTTACGCCTCCTCCGACGCAGCACCCCGAGACCTTGCGCCCGGCGAGCTAGTTTTGTGGAATTCCCTCCCTCGTGTCCCGTTGACGAGGGCACATCCAACTGCTGTTCTCGGCTGTCGGGGGGGCTTGTCTTACGGCAAAGGGACAAACAAAACCATGTCTATCGCGCGAGAGAAAAATCGGAGAGCTCATTGGTGTAGGCTGGATGGCGCAGACAGTAGCCGCCGAAGCAAAAAGCAAACCATGCCAAAAGGCAAATCGGAGAACACATTAAGGTAGGCTGGATGGCGCAGAAAGCAGCAGTTCAGGGCTCGCCATGTGAACGTGTGTTCAGGTCTAGGCCAAGCGATCGAACATACCTACAGGACCACATTGTACCTGGAACGTAGCGGCGTGCACCCGAAACAGCTGGTCGAGGTAGTGGGTGCTTGTGCCCGCAGGTCGGGGGAAAAGCTCCAGCCTTCGCATCTGGTGGGACAGCCTCACGCATAGCTATCGTAGCCAAGGCGAGCAGCGAACAAGCGAGGAGAAACGCTGAAGCAATTCAGCGTACAGGCAAAGGGCGTTCGCAACCGCAAGATCGGGTAGCAGCACCGGCTCATAAACGTCCTTTCGTCCGCAGTCAGTCGTCAAAGAAATTCCACGACCAAGAGACCAGCTATTTGGCGGAGCAACTGTGTTGCATCTCTCAAACTAGAGCGAGTTTGTCCGCCACTGGTGCCATTACGCTCGAAAGCCTTCGCGTGGTGGTGCAGCAGAAGCACCTGCTCCCGGCGCAAAAGAGCCTTCCCAACCGGCATTTCCTTGAACAAGTGCGTTCCCTGCGCTTGTTGCTCCTGCCAGTGCTACAAACGAGCTGCTGCAGTTTGTGCCTCATCCCCCCTTTTTCCCCGCCCTCACGAAGTAAACCCACACCCACATCTCTCTGGGGCCTATGATATAACTCTCCCTGCACTCTCACGGCCCCGCATGTGTTTGTGCAGGAATAACATCGACCGCGTCCCCATTGTATCAATACATCACAGAGGTCGTCGGGCGGCAAAAACGCGATGGCACGTGGTAAAACTGTAACCTTCTCGTCCAACGAGCCCCTTCGTGCGCCGCCCTTGAAATAGAGCTTGTGTCTCGTGTTTATTTTGAATTAGAATCGACCGCGCTAGTCGTTGACCAATGGAAACACGTCAACTACATTGTGCACATCGCGGGTGGGATAAAAACGCAAAGCGCTTTCTACTGTGGTGTCATGGACATCCACGGGGGAGGCTGGAGGAGTTTGGACGACAGCGTTGTCCTGCAAATGAAGTACCGGGAGGAGACTCCATACCGCCGGGCAGAATTGATACTGCATCGTCTCGTTCTCTCATGTATATATTATTGTTCATGCCGTTGCTGTAATATATTTTTGTGTGTTGTAGAGCTCTCAAGGCCTTAAGGTGTCGAACAAGCAGCCAGTTTTGGCGGAGGAAAAAAGCCAGGTATTGTAGGTTCAGACAGCAGCCCCGGGGACGGACGGATAGTTTTGTGCATCAGGTAAATCACCTGTCTACATACATCCAGCGTTCGGATTCGGCAGCGAACATGGTCCCATTGAGGTTACACGGAGGACAAGCAGCGACAACAGCTAGAGGAGCAACGGTCACTGCTGTTACGCACACACAGGCAACGCGATCTCGCAACCCTCGTCGCGGCAGATTACAAAAAATACACCGCCATGTTGTACTTGCGCTGGTTTCCAACGAACACAGCGGGACCATCTGTGGTGTTTGTGCGCTTGAAAGAGGAGAACACATGCTCATCACCACCTACTTGGTTGTGGCGGTGCTTATAACCTCCCTCCCACCTGGTCACGGAGGTGGTGAGACACGAACTTGCTCCTGGCGTGGCGGCCGTGGTGCACGAGGCCCTTGAGCGTTGCTCGAACGGGATCCCGTGCCGTGTAGGTCTCGACGGCGCGCAACAGGCGCTGCGGTGCACTCCTGCTGCTGCTACTCCCACCGAGAGCACTCTTGGCCATTCTTTCGATCATGGCGCACTCGTTTACTGTTGAAGCGCTGCAGCCTCAACGGTGCAGACGCACGCACGCTCCCACGCGCTCGGTCCCTGTGTGAGTAATGCCGCGGTCCAGCCAGCAACTTTGGTCCCGCCTGTGGTGCACTATACTTGCTCGCCTGCAATAGCTCAACTTCGCCCACCGCCAAGTGTGTTGTTGACTCCTTGCTGGGCACCAACACAGAAGAGCAAGGCGCTGTGCGTGCACGACGCGCTGAGAGGCTATGCAACAGTTGTAGCACTCGCGTGTGCGCTTCGATGATGCTTGTGCCGCGATCAGCGATCATCTCACGCGCTGATTGGGTGGCAGAGTTCTTGATCGGGTCGACTTTTTTACTTTTATATTTGTTGGCGGGGGGCGTCGGTTGAACCGTTGTCCGTTGTTCGTATTGTAGGAGAATAGGAGGTGCCAGAGACAGAGGGAAGAGGGAAGGAACGAGAGCACGAACCTACTGCAAAAGATTCGCTGACATTCTCCTGCTCGCCTTCACAGCTTTAGAGAATCTTGCTGCCGGAGAGACAGGCTGTGTCGCATGTATGCGGGACGGCAAATATTTGAATCGTCGATTGCGCCGCATTTCACATTTCACAGCCGTGTGCTCCCCGGCTTCTGGTTTGACACTCGCACTCCATTTCTGTCTCTCCTCTCAACATCACGACCGACATCAGCCACACCACGTGGTAGAAGAAAGGGGCAGGTGGTTCCTCCGGAAGAGAAAACACAGGGAGGGGGCCAGGGATCAAAGGTGCCTCACAACACTAGCAGCATCCCGTGTAGAAACAATCAGACTTTTGTTAGGAAACATCAATACAAACACAGAAAGAGGCAGGATAGCTGGCGGCCAACCCGACCACAGTCCCGCCGACCCGACAACAGTCGCAGATAACGACGAACCGCCGATTCAAAACTGTTCACCGCGAATGTTGGAAGTAGATACCGATACATCAACGCGTTGACTTATTAAGGAACCTTGTGGTGCTGATCCAATATGACACGACGCAGTCGAGATGCGGCGGGATGTTGACCTCTGCTGTAGGGCAATCAAGGAAAGCGCAGGCCGTCGTTTCCCAAGTGACACCTGTTTTATATCGCCACGCCTTACGTGCCACAGCTAAGCTTGTACCGTATCCGCCGAGCAGACAAGGGCGCACATACGACTACAGCAGCTCCATGTAATCGCCCAGCCTAGACTGCTGTGCACCTTTGCGGCGTGTTTGGCTCCTTTGCACGCGCGAAACCGGTGACAGCTTTTGCCTCGGTGGACACGCAACCCTGCCGGCCACGATGTTGTAGCACGAAATCATGGCTTGAAAGCGAAGACGGCCGATATATTTGTCGGCCTCACAGCACTTTCGAACAGCTTCCAACTGATATGTTCCCGCTGCCTCCTTCCCCGCGCTCATCCTCCAACCGGTCTGTCTCCAACAGCACTTCCCGTTGCCCGCTGCCCCTTCCCCGCGCTCATCCTCCAACCCCCCCGTCTCCAACAGCGCGTCGGGTGGCCGGTCCCCCAGGTTGTCGTAATTTCCGCTCCTTCCGGCTCCTCGACTGTGGAGAGGGTTAAGTCCTGAGCGTGCCGCGGAACGGAATCCATCACAACCACAAAAGTTGCACCCCTGCGCAGGACGGCGAGCATCCTCTGTCACGTGCGAAGCGGCAGCCAGCCCACGGACGGTGCTGTTGTTTTTTGCTTCTACGTAAGATAGGCCTATGCTGTTGCTTGGGCGTCTACATTTGACGGACCGGTGCTGCCGTTTGTGGGCGTCATACCTATCAAGCAATGTCCACGACGTACCGTCAGCTGGTGTTGCGCCTACCGGACGGCCTGAAGGAGACGATGAGAGAAAGGGTGGCCGCGGACGCGGGAATGGAAGGGGTCGACTTCACGCCGGAGAAGAAAGGGAGTAGAAGGTGGGGCGAGGGGGGGGGGGGGTACTCATAGTCGTGCATGCCGTAGTCGTTAGACCATTGACCTCGCATCCCTACAAAGCCNGAATGGAAGGGGTCGACTTCACGCCGGAGAAGAAAGGGAGTAGAAGGTGGGGCGAGGGGGGGGGGGTGTACTCATAGTCGTGCATGCCGTAGTCGTTAGACCATTGACCTGTAAAGGCCCGCAGGTTGTTTCCAACGGACGGCCCCACGGCAGGGTATGGGAGGGTAGGGCAGGGCAGGGCATGCCGTCGTTGTGACACTACTGGCCTCGCAGCCCGGATGGAGAACGGCGGGTGCTCACTTTTTGCTTCTCTCGCGTTTGTCGTGCTGTTGGTGGAGCTCCAGCCGACGCCATTTCAGCCAAACAACAACTGCTGTGGCAGCTTCAATGTATCCTTGATGATGCGGTAGGTCTTGTTAGCGCGGGCGGTCTGTTTGTCCCCTCTTAACAATAAGAGTATGTTGGGTTTTTGTAAACGAAGGGTAATCCAGTCGAGCGTTGTGGTGACCGTTTCGACAGGTTCACGTTCACCATGGATGGGAAGAAGTACCCCGCCCGCTTGGTGGACATGCCGTGCGTCTTGGAAACCCAGAAGACCCTGGACAAGAGGACCTTCTTCAAGAGCGGGGACGTCGGCCAGATGCTCATCGTCTACAAGGTGTGTCTCCCGTTGCTGGTTGGAGATCTCTCTGATGCCCTCGCTGTTCACCGCTGTTGGTACGACCGTAAACTCGTAGTAGGACAAGGGAGACACGATCTAATGGGCTTGTTTTTGCACGTGGTTAGAATGACTCGGGCCATGTTTCCCGACCCCCCTCCGTTCATGACGCTGCTCACCGAACACCTCACGGCGTTCAACGCTTGGCGCAATCCGTCCTTGCCTGATCGCGAAACCACGACTAGCGATACACGTCCCTTAGTTCGTGCTCCCACGAGAGCCACAAGCGCCACCAACAATGATTTGCCCCCCCCCGCCGCCTCCCCCGGTGTTTGCCGTCGGGGTTGGGTTTTCGTCGCTTGGCAACGACGTTGTAAAACAAGCC